GTGTGTGTGTGTGTGGACACATATGAGGGAGGTGTTGCCAGGATTGAGATTTTCAGGATGACAGGCATGCGCTGTGTCCGAGCCAATGGTGGCGGAGAGATAGTGAAGGAGACGGAAGCTGAAGGGTCTTTTGCTTTTTTATTTTTTTATTTTTTACGGCCCCTCCGGAGCTGCAGCAGAGTTTGGGAGGGAAAGAGCTCGACTCTTAATGACTGTAAAGTCCAATTAAAGCTGAAAGGTGGAACAACACGTTTTTAACCTTTTAATTTGGTCTTGATTGTTGTTTCATGCTGTCATGTCTGTCTGTCACCATGGTGACGCCTCCCTTTTAATCTTAGTGGAACCTGCTTGATTAATTACAAATAAAAACAATAGTGATTTTATAATTTAATTATTAATAGCACGCACTGTAAGACTGTAACGCTTTTACTCTTCTGTTTGTTTTACTGTCCCTATTGTATATGTGTCTTTTTTATTGTGTTTCTTACATCTTAATGTCTGTTTATGTATTATGTTAATCACTTTTAATTGCCTTGCTGTTGAAATAAGTTAATAATCACATCTTTCATTATAAATATGTTACCAAATGTAAAAAAAAAGGAGTTAGTGTTGCTCCTAAATAGAGTCTGGAAGTATTCTGTGGAGGCATCTATTTAGGAAATTGAAAAATAACTTTAAAAATTGCTTTTTCTGTAGTAATTCTAAACATTTTTGTAGCTCTGCTGTGTGATATTTTAACACCCATCTCGGACTCCTTAACACTCACAATAATGCAGTATAAATATGTTCTCTTTAAAAATATTCAACCTCTTCCTGCTGCTGGTCAACTCATTAAAACCTCAAAGAATTTTACTTTAAATATCTCCAAAGACACCAAATATGTCGATATACATTATTAGAAGAATGCACATAAGATGTATTTGAACTATTTCATCTAATGGACAAATGCAGCCATAAAAAACTATTTCACTGACAATGAAATAAGCATAAAATGTGAACTTAACTTAGGTCACATTCAATTAAACTGTTAAAGGTGTTGCAGTTTAAAGAAAGGTTGTTTATCTTATTTTTCATGTTGTTAAATGATAAGTTTGAACTTTACCTTGAACCTGCAGGTCTTTATAGTGAGGAATGTGTACCATTATAAATATATATGTGAGAGCAGGTCTGTTTTTATCATCCATCCATCCTGACACTGGGAGAGAGGCGGGGTACACCCTAGTCAGTTCATCACAGGGTTAACACATAGAGACAACCATTCACACTCACATTCACACCCACCGCCTGTTTAGAGCCACCAGTTAACCTGCATGACTGTGGGAGGAAACACGGTGAGAAACCAGCAGTCACTCCCCGGCCACTAAAAGGTCCCAGACCGCCGGTGGGTTCGAACCCGCGACCTTGTTGCTGTGTGGTACATGTTGCATTAGTGGAACACTTTAATTAAAATGTGTATTATACACTATGAAGTAAACGTTTGTTAAATCACAGAAATATTCAAAACAGATCATGTGATCTTTACGTAAAGGCGCTGCGTGCGTTCAGGTCGCAGTCTCCCCTGGAGGTGTGAGTTCGAATCCCACTTGTGACAGATACATTTTTCGAGGCACTGTTTAAAATACGCATCCAAATGTACAGGGAATACCTCGTAATCCGCTACTCTCTTATTTTCATTTTTATTTTTCTGGATAATCCACAAAAAAAAAAAAAGTTTTTTATTAACAACAGGATAGTTGTTAAGTAAAGAATAGCAGCACATACAGAATGAAGTACAGAAAAAACATGATCATAAAATTAAAGGAAAAGATGGAGTACACGAATGCATAAATAAAAACATGCTGTTGACATGTGGCTCTGCAGTAATCAGTTTCTTCCTGCTCACAACTTCCGCACTTTATTTTCAAAACAGATCATGTGATCTATACGTAAATCACGTCAGGATGGCCGAGCGGTCTAAGGCGCTGCGTTCAGGTCGCAGTCTCC